CAACCCGGGTCATTCTATGATTCTATGTAGCTCATATGCATGTGTTCAGATGTCTGAAATCTGGAGCTGTGTCCTGTTAATGTTGTCTCATTTATTTATTTTTAAATCAACTTTGGTAATGAATGTAGTGGTCATATGCTATCATGCAGCATTTTATGACCACAAACATCTTTTTCTCTGTAGTTCCCTGTAACATCCTAAGAAATTTATTATGGCTTCTACTCTTTGACATAGAGTGCAGTGTCAAAATGTGCCTGGAGGGTGAGTGGTTCTCTGGTTTCAAGGAACAAATGCTATGTGAAATTAATTTGCAAAACCGTAGTTCTGTATGTAATAAACTTTAAAAATGTTTTTACATTATATGGATCACAGAGCATTTGATGTGGATTAATTTATCTTGCTGAAGTTTGAAATACAGTTGTAGAGTGAATGAAGCCAGCAGCGTTAATGTAAGTTGAAGCAGTAGGAGTGGATGCATAATTTGATAAATGTGACCTCGTCCATATGCTATACAATAATTTTTGAAGGCACATGACATTATCTTTTATTTTTACTTATTAAAATCGTCATTGTCTTAGTTGTCTTACAGAGCAAAAATGTCAGCTGTTTTCTATGCAGCAGTGAAAGCACAGCTGGAATTTGTAAGCCAAAGACCTGTGGTAAAAATGTTTTATTGAGGGAGGATCGTTAGAATTGTATATTTAATGTTTCTTCATTATGTTCAGCAAGATGTTATTTGGGGCTGAGTGGAGAGGCACAAATTTCAGATCAAATTTTTATTTTTGTGGAGATAATTTGAAGAAAATATGAAAGCACAGTTATTGAAAGGACGTTTCAATCTGGAAGTATTTGCCACTTCCAAATTTTTTACATTCACTGTTTGAATGCACGAAGCCAAATCTATCCAATTGAGTTCTGTCAGGGCTATGTGCAGGTTTAGAAAACGTAGAAGAGATGGGGTTTTTGCCTGTTGAATTTGATGTTGGACAGTAATGATCATAGATAATTTATTATGGGAAGGCAGTTTTCTGGAAATGCAGAAAGTGATTTACAGCAAACTCGGCCTTTCTAAATAATGAGTTTTAGGGAGGAAAAGGCAGAAAGGAGATCCTAGGGGCTTTAAGAACAAAAGAAGATTAGGAGTTGTAAAGAGGAAAATGAATGGATAGGAAATGCTTAGTTATGAAAATTGTACACAGAACTGCTGAGAGCAGTTAATGGATGTTTCCAAAACTGTGGCCTGCAGGGTTATTGCATGTGGTCTGATGTTTTGCTGGAACCTGGGCCATGGTGAGGGAATGGCATTTTGCTTGCTGCACTTCTCAGTCGTATCAAAGGATATCTTCTGCAGCTGGGGCAGTTAAAATCTTGCAGGTTAAATCACGTGAGAAGATTTTCACACTGTGTAAAAATTTTGTGCAGCTTTGGACCCCTAAGGGGATTTACCACTGGAACAATCATTCAATTTTCACGGCAAGAGCACATTTTAATATAAGGTATTGACCTAAGAACACAGATAAATCCAAGTTGGACAGATAGAATAGGTCCTCCCGCAGCTCACTTTCCCTTTGCTAAAAATGTTTGCCTTTACAGGGGAATATTTGAATTACACATGAAATGGATCTTGGATCACTGCAGTTTCTAGGTTGTATCTATCAATCTAAGTAAAATACATGCTGACTACATAGATTTGGGAGGGGGCATGAATTGTCAGTTCTGGACTGCTTCACGTGTGTTTCAGCTGTTCCTCTTGTAGAAGGGCAACCTCTGGAACAGGGATGGTGCACAATGCTTGGTATGGTCACAGCTTTGGTTCTCTGACTCTAATTTGTGTTCAAGGATATCAGGTAGTACAATGTATACAACCTGATTTAAAACTTTGGTGAGCATTATTCCTTAAACAGATACAGGTCTTTTTTACAACTTGATAAAACAATATTGCAGCCTCCTTCTAATTAGGTTGCTTTGCCTCACAATCCAAGGACAGCATGAGAATATTCACTTGAATGTGCCTCTGGAAGAAGAAACAAAGGTTAATGATTTACAGCCAATGTTCTTTATTATCACTTCTGTCATTCCCAGACACCATCCACCTTCCTTCTTACTTGGAGTCCTAATTTTGGCCTTGAGAAGGCGAGATATGCAGGGAGGGGGGGAAGCCACTTCACATGTTGCATCCATTCTCATACTCCTGTTTATCATGTATCTCTAAGGAAGAAATGGGATATGTGAGAGTAGACCTAAGAATGTTACCTTTTGAAGACTTTTTTTTTTTTTTTTTAATGTAAGTTGCGTGGTTGTTGTGCTCAAAGTCTATAAATATGAGGAAATAATTTGAAAAATAATGCTGGTTGAAAGTAAATTTATGTTAAAAGGCTAGCACAAGCTTGGCAAATAGAAATAAATTAATAAGCTCTATTCAAGACTTTCCATATGGGTCTGCAGAGAGACATTATTATATTGAGTGAATTTTTATATTGCTGAAAATTATCTACATGTGAACTAGTGCTATTGGACTCACTTTTGTTGTACTTGAATTGCATTAGGCCTTTAGAATTGACAGTAAAGGAAACAATTATCAGTAGGCAATGTTCAAGACTTTTGAACTACCAAGCAGCGCTAATGTAATATTTGCGTATTATGTAGCACAGGTAGATATGCCATGTCATTTATGACTAAATACTAACAGTTTGTCTTTTTTTTTTCTTCAACAGATTCAGAGCATTCCTATTACAATTTAATCTTGAAGAAAGCAGGACAATTTTTATCCAATTTCCAAATCAATCTATTGAAGCTTGCACTTTCCATACGGGCATATTCTCCAACTGTTCAGATGTTTCAGCAGGTGACTATGTTATGTGATATATTTGGTACATTATTTTATGCAGTGTTTTGGCTGCAGAGTAAAGAGTGTTCATTACTACAGTTCAGTAAAATACATGCCGACATTATTTGGAATCAAACATGATCCATTTATAAAGGTGATGCTTTATAAGCTGGTTATATTGACAGGAACAAATATGCATGTCTAATTGTATGGATAGCATTATTTTCAGGGCAGAATTTTTGGAATGGTTAGTTTTTAAAACTCAGGTTGTGGGGGTTTTTTGCATTGCTTTAAATAATCCTAGGGGGATTCAGACATTCCCAAAGTAGGAAATTTCCTATAGCATCAAGTAATCTATATTTGTTATTTGGTGGACTTCTCATCTCTCTTATTGTTTTAGTATTTGAAAAGTTGAAAGATGGAATAGTCAAATCTCTGCTTAGTTAATGAAAATGTGTGAGGATATAAATGTACTGTACCTCTAGCCTAAAATTGCTCCTCCTCCTTTTAGCAATACCACTTTCAAGATAAAGTGGGAAATCCATGTTTCTGAAAGGTAATAAGCTGTAGTAAAGTTAGGGGTTTTTGCAAGTGTTCTTTGGAGGAGTATCATAATCTCAGACTCACATGTTTTCATTTTTAACTTTCAGGTTGTGCGTCCGGAGTCATTGATATGCAGTCATATGATTCCCACTTCACATGAGAGTAGCTGAATAGAGTTTAAAAAAAAAAAAAAAGTCAGGGGGCTGGGAGGGAGAGAGAACCAAAAATTGACGTTACTTTTTTTGGGATTTATTGGTTAGCAATCAAATCTTTGTACATTAACATGATTGCTGATAGCGAGTAAAATTAAAAATATCTCAGAGTACAGGCTGTGATTTCAGCTTGTGGAGGTGATTTCTCAGCCCTGTCTTTACAGAACATAAATGGACTTGCATTTTCTGGAGTATGACTGCATTTGATAGACTACATCTTGCAAAGGTTATAAGGTCTTAGTCTTCTAATATTTTCTGTTACTTTTTCACATGTACCCAATTTCAAATGGGCCTAATTAGAAACACAACTCCATGACAGCTATTGAGTTATTTTAATCAAAGGGATGTGAGTTTAAGTTGAAGTGCAATCAGAGCATTCTGGTTGAGTATAATTGTTGAAATATTAGATTGCAGCTGATGAACCTCCACCAGAAGGCTGCAGTGCCTTTGTGGTTATCCATGAGAAGCACACCTGTAAGACTAATGAAATAAAAAAGCTGCTGAAGAAGGCTACTAAGAGGTAAATTTAATGATCTGTGATCTGTTTTAAGAGGAAAAGTAGATTACTAAAGAGGAAAAGGTATTATTGCATATATATATGTTAGTATTTAGAAATTTTGTCTTCTACTTACTTGATAATGCCAAGCCCATAACTCCATTCAGTGGATTTTTAAAGGCATACCTATTTAAAGTATACATTATTTTAAATGAGTTACTTTTAATTTTGAAATATTTTCAACACTTACTGTTAAGAGAATTCATCAATTATGACTCAAAGCAGTATTTTAAAACAAAATTGTAGAGCTTTGCTCCTCTAACCACATGGATAATTTTCTGTTCTCTTTTTTTTTTTTTTATACTATTTTGAATAGTCAAGTTTAAGTTACAGTGTACTTTCTACACAAGCTTACCATTTAATGTGTCTGAGACAATACTTGTGCTGACAGACATTTCGAGGTAGTCAGTGCCACGGTATTTGAGGTTTTCTGGATTGTAAGGGCTTGGCACAGAAGTGGAAGAGGCTCTACCTCAACTGGCATAACCGTTCCCCTCCTTGTTCTAGACTTTGTACCTACCAAGTCTTTCTGCAGGCTTTGTCCTGTGGAAATTAGCATCAGTCCAGAACGAATGTGGGCTGTGAAGTAAAATATATAAAACCTATCAAATAACAAATAATAACAAAATAATGAAAGCAAAATGTTTAGTCTCTAAAAAAAAATGATTTGCATGTTTTCAAGACCTACATGTAATATTTTTTGTTGGGTTTTTTTTCATGCAAAGGTCAAGGTCACCATAATATATATTAGTGTCCATACCCTCAACCACTTCATGGAGATATGTAGAGCTGAAAGATGATTTAATAGGGTGTATTTGTTGGATTTTTATATAAATTGTGAAAAAAACCAAACCTGAAAACCTATAAATTTGTCTCTTTGGGGATGGTTGCTTCTGAAAACATTATGGTATTTATAATGGCTATTTATGGTATTTTCTAGGTCCAGTGATACAATTGCAACCTACTAAATCATTGTCCTTTACTCATTTAGTAGCCACAGCTTTTGCAAAAACACTTCTCTGTCTATTTTGCAATGTCCCGTTTTTAACTATTACAGTCTGCCTAACAAATGTCTCGTACTTTCTTGCATAAATTATTTGTACTATTTTTGGGTTTTAAAATGATGTTAAGTTCTTATGGTCATGTGTTAAGGCATCATGAGACCTTAACATCTTATCACAATGTCTGAATGTTCTCTTCTTCTAAAGCAGTTATACTGGATTCAGCACATTCTCCTTTCTGGAGCTACTATCCCCAAATTTACAAGATTCTGGAAAATCATTATACTAAATAGAATCCTGAAATATTCAGAATTGAAAGAGTTAGACTTCTAGGAATCATTAAGAACTCACAAGAAAACTGAAGTTCTTTCTGTTAAGTTGTTCTTGTGTTTTGGATAGTTTTGTGTGCACCAGTCGCATTACAACCTTCAGAGCTGCAGGGACAAAATCTTGATCTCTTTCTCCTTACCCCAAAAGTAGTTAAGTCACTCAAATACTTAGAGTTCCTGGAGCTAGACTTTGAGAAAAACAGGTTTACCTTCAGGTAATTGTTTCCGCTGTTATTTCCAGTTGTGCTCTGGATAGCAGATGCTTTTCCCTTGTGCTGGAGATATTTAGCCTAGGTGACACAGATAGGGATGTGCTCTGCCTTTTCTATGTGGTGAACAAATGATATATGGGACAGTGTGCCATCTCACTGTTGATACTTCTAAACCAGCCACTCTTTTTCTCTGTGGCTTTTAGGAAAAGAGATCTTTTTTGTTTTCTTGATTCCTTTTTTTATTTCAAACAATTTTCCTTTGTGTTTCATTTTCTATCTTCTGCCATGACATGTCTGTCCACTTAAGCCAGGCCAACTTAAGCTAGGCTTTCAGTTGTGTCCTGAAGTTCCCCACATTGGATGAGAACACTAGAAATGTTATATTCTTCGGGATGATAGTTTCAAATCTCATTGGAAGAGAAAGAAGAGGCTGCAGCATTACTTTGTGCAGATCCATCAGCTCAACCTGAGATCCAGGAAGTCTCAGGCACTTTGGACTTAGGAGAGCCCAAATAATCTGCATGTTAAGGTCAAGATTTTGCTTCATTCCGGTCCTTTATGGAGCAGCTACTGTGATTTCGTCTGCTGCACTTTCAGCCCTGTTGAAATGGACTGCATGGTTCTAATTGGAAGAATTTTGTGTGGAGATGCAATGGGCTGCTCAGGGTCTCTAGATGTTTTAAATCTTCAGTGGTTAAATGGCTGGGATTGCCTGTCTTGCTAACTGTCCAAAACACACCACTAAGATTTCTGGGGCTGTTGCTGCCAAGAGCACAAGCATTGATGGGAATCACATTTTGCTCAAAATGAACAGTTCCTTAGAAGGTTTGTCAGTATACATGTCTGCTGTCTTCTGTCCATCACATTCCTTCTGCATTGTGTCTTGGCAACTATCTAGGCCAGCATATAGCTGTCTGTATAACCCTAGTAACTGCTTAGTGAGTGCTGAACTCCACATCTATGTGGTTTTTTTATCTTTGTCTGCCCAACTGCTGTTCCTTCCCTTTCAGGCAGCCTTCTCATGAGAATCTCTTATGGCAAGAAATAAATTAGCTTTTGGCTCTAAGAGCAAAATCAATTACTTCTCACTAGTACTCAGTGTTGAAGAGAAACAGAGAACGGAGGCTTATCTTGGATTTACAAGGGCTGAATGCTTTAATTCTCCAATCCAAGGTCATTAAGGTAGCCCTATACGGTGTTATTTCACTGCAGCACTTAATTTTTTAGTGAAGCTTGGTCTTTGTACTATAAAATGCTTCTTTTGAGATTGTCAGTTTTGAAGAAAGTTGTGACAGTGCTTGGTACCCACCTTCTGCGAACAGGAGTCATTTTTCTGCTTTGTTGAGGTGACTAGTTAAGAAAGGAGAAGCCTCTTTGATTTAGGTTTTCTGCTGTCTATAAATAACTGTGGCAGCTCTTCTCTCTCTGAATACGAGAAGGAAGTTGCACAAGTCACTTCCCATATGTACACTTTAATTGGGGCAAATCTGGATCTGTTCTTGAACAGAGCTTACTCATTCAAGAGCTGTTTTGGACTCTGTGATGACACCTGCTTTGTCGGCCTTGCCCTGTGATGACAGTGGGAAAGCTTGCTTGATATTTCTGTGACACATGGCTGCATGCACCCAAGTTACTTCTCAAACCGGGCCCCTCCTTTTGGCTCTGCCTTACAAACGTGGTCTTCGATTGCGTATCTGCCAAGCTTCTATAGGAAGTTGGTGTTAAGGCCCTGAGTAACCTGATACAAATTGGCCCGGCTTTGAGTGAGGAATAGAGCAAATGACTTCCAAAAGTCCTATGCAATATAAATTATTCTGTGATTTTTATATTGAAGTTATTACTAAGCTTTGTATCACAGAAACTCTGGCATGTGTAGTTCTGCTCACACCTTTCCAGTATGACTTTTCAGTGACCATCTAGTATACACATCTCTGCAGTGCATGTAGGATTGAGTTTCTCAGCTTGCCTTGGAGAGCTTTGGAGGGAGTTTACTGGTCTTTCAACTGTGACTATGCAAAGGCAACCTTGCAAAAGAAGTGTACTCATTAGTAATTAGTGCATTGAGTATGTTACTCAACCATATCCCCTGTTACTTTTCCATCTTTCCCAGGGTTTATTTAGATGATGAGCGTAGTCATCTAAGAAATCATTGCAGGTATAGGCATAACTTTTCTACAGTCATGGCCTTAAATTATCAGGGTAGGTAGTCAGTCAAAATTTGGAAAATTAGCTAAATTAGCAGAGCTTGATGAAACTAACCCCAGTTAGTTTCCATATGTGTTAGTAGCTTTCTCAGACTTCTCTGAATATCTCTCTGCTACTGATTGATTGATCTGTACCTCTGTAGTAGGTGTAATGCATCATTTAAATTAAAAGGTTCAAGCTGTAACTGATTGTTGCACAAAATCTCAGTGTGCCTTTCGTTTGCTCGTTTTGTTGTGATTTGATAGAATATATTAAAATTATTTATAGGTGAAGCTGATTTTTCAGTTTCTTTAACTTGAAAACTTATGTTCTAAGCTCTTTCGTGAGCGATCATGATTATTTTGTGATGATATTAACATGACTCGCATACTTTTAGCTTATAAGCCCTTAATATTTCAATTATGAGGTAGAAAAACTGCCACTGTTTTTATTTTCTGAATATATAATATCACAATTATTTATTTTTAAACCAGACCCAGGCCATATCTTTTTAAGGTAGATCATAAATTCCCAACTCTCAAAGAGGATGGACCAGTGGTTATTCTTTATGCAGAAATGGGTACAAAGGATTTTGTTAAATTCCACAAGATTTTATCTGAGAAGGCGCAAAAGGAGGAAATTGTTTATGTTCTCCGGCACTATGTTCAGGTATGCAATCCAAATTAACATTGATTCAGTAAACTGTTAGTATTCTGTCTTTATTGTTCTTGGTTTTTGAAAAAAACACTGTTCCTACATTTGATTTTGCATTTGCCTAAATCATGTGTAAAACTTTCTAGATTCACCTAGACTTTGAAGCTGGGAAGGTGTGATAATATTGTCTATTCCTGCATGCAAGCGCAGTTTGCATCGCTGATTGATGTTGAAACACCTCTTTTTTGGTTGTATGTCTGATTTTTGTACATAGTACAAAGATCTTGGGTGAAATCTTGGTGCAGCAGACTGAACATGTTAGTAACAAGAATTAGAATAACAGCAGCTGGAACAGAAAATCAAGCTGAAAAATAATTGCACTTCTCATTTTAAGTATTCTTAGTATAATCTCATGTTCATTGCAGTACAGCAGCATGGGCTATCAGAGTCAACATCACTGTTCAGTTTTTCGGTGCTTGCATTCCACAGTGTCAGTATTTTAAACATGTTTCTGAATGCTTCTCTTAATTTACTCTTCTCCCTGAAGAAACAACACAAGTCAAATATGAGTACATGGAACTACATTGTCCTCAATTTTGGTTATTGGAAGCTTTTAAAAGTTATATTCAAAGTACAGCTCTTAAATAGTGCAACTAATACAAGAATAATCCGATGGAGTGAGAGGTTGCTCAGGCATTTCAGGAAGATGAGATCTGTAGTTTGCAGATGACTTTGAGTTGTTTGCTCACAGTAATGAAATAGAGAATTGGAGGAAACCAGTCTTAAATTCTAAGTTGTGTAGAGGTATAGTTTTTACGTAACTTTCTGCTTTCTTATGCATTTTTTTCCAATTAAATACCTACAGTTTCCTTGCTCTGACAATGCACCATGTTCCCCCCAAATGCCTGTTGTCTTCCTCCCATTTCCTCCTTCCTCACAACATCTGTTTTTATTTTTTGGTTCCCACTGAGTTGGATTCTCTGTCCTTCCTTGCCTTAAATACCAGAAGAGGGAGCATTGAGAGCAGAAGAGCTACAGTCTTTCTGATTTTTTTTTTTTTGGTATCACTGAGGCCACTTACAGAGTGCAGTGCTCTCTCTCCATTGAGATTTGGTTAGAGGACCAACAGAGAATACCCCTGGCCCTGATGTGTTTTCCTTTGTGGGCTGGAAGATTCTCAGTACAGAATGATTTTTAGAAATTGTAAGCTAAAGCTGAAAAGCTTTCAAGCAATTGCTGCTGTGCATGTGCAATTGCATTTTGGGAAGGGAATTTTCATACATTTTGGACAGATTAGGGCACGTTTTCAGAAATAAGTATGCTCTGAGTAATTGCACTATTGAATGTTGAACTCCCACTCCAAAGTTAGAAATGCTTGTTGGTCTTACTAAGTGGCAATCTGGTTTTAGCAGGGATACCCTAATATATTTTCTTAATCCTCCTTGCAGATAGTGATTAATTCTTTCATCAAAACTCTTTGAAAGAATCAGCTTGATGCAGAAATAAAGAATTTCCTCCTACCATGCTGAAGTCTGGCAAAATTACAAAGGAATTAAGAACAGTTTAAAATGTGAATTGTAAGGCATCAATAGTTGCATAGGGTGCTACCAGCTCTGCCAGTTCTACTCCTAATAGTATGTGAAAAGACTACAGTTTTGTCACAGCCTTTCTGTAGTCTGCAGGAGATAAAGAAAGTCCTTCCTTTCTGTTATACACCTCAGTGGGCTGTCAATATGCCTTACATAACTCTTATAGTTTGTTTGGCATGGTATTTTGTACATTGAATCATAAATTGAAAGATGAATGTAGGTTATGACTATCATAACATTGTAAAGTTACGGTATTGGATATTGTTAATCTTCTGTAGAAACAGTTTTTTAACTTATATTTTTTGTTCTGTTAAAATAATATAATCAAACAGAAACCAAGTTCTAGAAAAATGTATTTGTCTGGATATGGTGTAGAGCTTGCAATAAAGAGCACAGAATATAAAGCAGTAGATGACACACAAGTTAAAGGTATGTTGGTTTTTTTAATTTATGATATTGTATTGGAGATACTACTGAAATATATGATAATCTTCAGTTATGAAGTCAGTAATGTTTTGAAGGTTATACTTAATTTCTTCTTACAGAAGAAAGTCTCGGGCATTAGGAACTAAGACATCAAAATATATGTGAGCATATACAACTGTGCTTAGGATATAGTTCATGATCTAAGCTCTACTTGTTGTTTCCTGTGGCTCTTCAAAATGTAACTTATTCTTCCTTTCAATCAGATTGTTTAACCTTTGTTCTTCATTTACTTTGTTTGTTGGCATCTCTAATATGCTAATTACTACAGTATCTACACATTAGTGTTTCAGGGTTGGGCTTTTTTTCTGAAGCTATGTGGAAATACTTTCACAATCTTCTGCAGGAAATATGTGCACTGTCGTAGAATTTGCTACCAGTGTATGTTGTTCTGTGTTAAAGTGTGACATTTACCACAAAAAGTAATAGCTATAGCATTCTGACACAGAGAAGTTACTTTGTGTAGAGATTTACAAGATGTAGATAAACTTAGCTAACTCTCTTTCAGTAAGACTAAGGTTTAATAGCCATTGAGCTACTTCAAGAAGAGTTTCATTTTTTTAAAAAGGGAAAGAAACTGATCTCTGACTTACCTCAAATGCTAGCTGGATATTCAAGCACTTTAAAGTCATCATGGCTTTCAAGCATAAGTTTGGTAGTAGCTGGCTGACAAGAGTTGTACTTTACCATTTAATCAAACTGAGAAGTGGCTATTTTGGAAAGTGAACTATTTAACTATATCAATTTCTTTTATATAAAAACCATTGGATGAATTATATTTCAAAATTAATCTGAATGTTGCTAAGGTCTGTAAAGTGATTCATTCTGATGCCAAAATTTTAATGCATAAATATAAATCTAATTGAAATTACATCTGGGAATGACAACTTTCTGATTCTATGTTTCTGTTAACCACTTTATAATTCATAAGAACATAATACATCAGTAACTTTCTTGGTTTGTATGGTCTACATGTGCTATGTATTCAGGAACAAACGATACAAAAGAAGAGGAAGATGATGATGATGAGGAAAGTGATGTCCAAGGATTTCTCTTTGGCAAATTAAAGTGAGTTGATATAATTTATAATTAAATTTCCTCATTTGTTTCTGGAACCTGAAACAATTTTTTTTTTAATAGAAGTGAGATTTATGTTGGAAATTACTTTGCCACTGATTAATTTTTTTGTGTATGCCTTGTGAATGTAAAGATGCAACAGTTGTTTATTCTGTTCATTTCAACTTATTGCTTTTAGTTTTCTAATTCTCTTACACACAGTAAGCTGTTTTTAAAGTAAAAAAATTCCCTCTGGGCAACAGTCACAAGAACTTAGATCCAAACATGAAAACATGGTGTTCTGCAGTAAATTGTTGCTGCAACTTCTGTTTTCAGATAATTAGAATGAGAATGTTGGTTTTCAAAATGCAAGTAGTAGCACAACAAATCCAAACTCGTGTTGTAGCTACATAAGGTGTTTTTAAGATGGGTAGTCATTTATTTCTTGGAGTTAAGGAATGATATTTCTTGGAAGATAGTGCTTATTATAGATGCCTTCTTATTTCGAAGTTTGTGAATTTGTGTTCTGTTCTGGCAGGAGCTCTTTTCTCTCCCAGTTACAAACTGTTAGTCCAGGTGATTGATTAAATTGGATGCTACCCTGTTGAGGGCTGTGGTCTGCTACTAGTGTTTGCAGTTATCGAAAGTCCTTCCCTTTTCTTGTAGCAGATCCATGCAATGAATCATAAATCTTGGCTTTTTCTTCAAGAAGAAATGCAAGAGTGTGGGTCTCCTCTAGTTTCTTTCTCTCTCTAATTTTTTTTTAAAGTGAAAAGTAAACTTTTTTGTAGATATTCTCACCAAGTTTTAAGTCTTCTCAGAGTTCAGAGCTTCTAATGCTGCCTAAATTCTTGAGAGCCCATCCCCTTTCTGTCTTAAAAGCATTGAGATAGAATTGCACCCAGATCTGCAGGCTTCCTTATTGTTTCATGTATCTGAGACCTTCCACAGGAGGTAATATTAAATGCTTATGTCATATCTTTATCTGAGCTTTAGTTCTTCTTGGATTGTACTAGATTTAGCTGTACTTAGGTTCTTGATGTTGCACTGTGGCTAATTTGTGAAGCTGCTAGATGATTACTCAGACTTTTTGACAATGTTTCTAGGCTTTTCTTCTCTTTTTCATACTGGAGATGAAAGAGATGTTTTGGTAATCTGAAAATTGTCCCTCAGTTACAGCTGTGTCAAAGGTTTACTTTTCTCAGCTATGAAATAGTTACAGATGTAAGCAGAAGACAAAATCTTAGAAATATAGCTATTTGATAATGCAAATCAACCTAATTCAATCCCACATCATGATACCTATCCAGAGAAGGGTATTTTTTTTTCAGTTGGCTTTGTGTGTGTTTGATTTTGTGCCCACATTGACCATAGTATAACTGAACAAGAGAAATGAGGGACCAAGCATCAGTACTAAATCTTGGTTGTGGCTTGTGGCTAGGTCTTATTTGCTGGTTGTCTTTAATTCACAGAAGAACTGAAGATCTGAACAGAAAGAAAAAGAAAATTGTCAGGGTAAATTTGCAAGGAAGGCAATGAAAAGAGTAATTAAAAACCTCAAAACTAGTTAAGAGTTTGCTACTTCATAAAGGGATTTCTAAGAGTACGACCTGCGTTTGTCATTTCTAGGTCTATGTGTACAGTTACAGTTAATCTATAGTACAGTTAGCATACAGTTACGTATACTTTATGCTATAGTAAACTAACTAGACAGTTATCTGTATTGTGTATTAATACTGTTTAATCTTTAGTTCATTTATTCCATCAAAATTTATGTGACAGTGTTTGAGACAGATCACTATGAAGCAATTGAACTCCTTCTTGTAATTAACAGGTTTTTAGTCCTCAGAAATCACCTCTTCTCACCCCAAATACTCATTTTTATTTTAACAATTAATAAAAATTTTAATTCTTACTTGTTACCATAAAGATATGGTATTAGCTGGGCACAATGCTGTAGATAAACGCAGACATTGATGGATGTCATTGAATTTGCTTTTTTTAAAAAAAAAATTATTGTAGACGGATGCATCCTGATCTGAAAAATAATCTGAAAGAGTTTAAAAAACATCTGATTGAAACTACTAACAACATGGAACCACTGAAGGTTTGGGAATTACAAGGTATGTATTGCATTTTTCTGAATTAACACAGTACTCTGTTTAATTTTCCTTTGTTATGTAGATGTATCAACATTATGATAAAAGCTTTTTCTAAAAAAGAGACATGTGGTTTCACAAAAATGCAGTATTATATCCAATATTTAAAAAGAGTGTATTGGTATCTTGTCCTGTTATTACATGTTAGAAATTAAAGGAGCATTGAAGTAATTTTATAAGATGGAGAATCACAACCAGCTTTACAAATTTTACAGACAGAAGTTGTATTGCCCAGTTTTCTGCCTGGTGTGTTATCTCAGATGTTAAATTTAGTTTCAGATTTTTTTTGAGAGGTCAGGCAAAAAATATCATTTTGACATGACTATTGAGTCAGGACAAAATACCGGTTAAGATTTATTTTTTCTTTAGTTTATAAATTCTAACTTTTTTCAGTGTACTGGAGTTCATGTTGATACATTTCTTTATATAACATCAAATGGAAGAATATGCTTTTAAAAGCTTTCCCATGGAAAAGGAGAACAAATACATAGAAGCTGATTTCTAAGCAGCTTCTGTGCTGAGGACCTGCAGGGCATTCTGTAGCTTGAATGGAATCACTCTGAAATAGGTCCCTAAAATGTCATGACACTTAAGTTTAGGTAACTAAATTTTACCTGTTAAATTCTTCAGTTTTAGAGGATAACCGGATCAAAACTGGTTTGCCTTTATGCTAGTGCAATGAAGGAGACTGAGGAATCATCTGAACTTCAGTGTCTTTTTTTGGACCCTGATTGTTACGGAGCTTCCTATCATTATCTGTTCTGAAACTGGCTGAGATAATTGTAGTTCCCTTGCAGACTTTTATCAATGAACTCCCCTTCAGCTGCAGGATTTATCTTGGTCCAAAATTTTAAACCAAAAACCATTGTATTTCAGTTATCCCAAGAAATCTACCATGCAAATAATAAAAAAAATTATCTTTTTGTTTAGTTAATTTTTTTTTACACGATTGAATACCATTCTATTGATGTTCAAGCAGAAGCAGCTGTGAAGCTTTGATCATCCCTTTAGTGTCTGCCTTCAAAAGCTGGTATAAGGTCTTTATTTACTGGTGGTCTTTTCTGTGGTGTCATGGCTATATAGATGAAAATGAGATTTGTGCTGCTCCCCAGGCAACCAGTTCATACAGCATGGAAGCTAAGTAAGCGTTGAGATGCTGTTTGTTCAGTGCCAGGAAGACTGGTACTGGCTGGTGATAAGCACATTAAGGGCCTTTTCAGACAGGAGGTCTTCAGCTCCATCTTTATATGGTGCAGTTGTTTTGATGCTCTTACTCCTGACCTGACTGGGTGTTTTCTCTAGTCCATTCTTACCGACTAATTGTAGTGGCTGAGTTGATGGCTCAGCTGCTCTGATTTCTTTTAATTAGCTTCCAACTAAATTGAACAAAAAGTCTTTCAGCTATAGGGAATACTTCTATTTATAAATGACCCTAAACACCATTCAAAGACTTGCCTTTCAAGAGCCTTTATGTTTTAGGCAAGTAATTAAATTTCCTATTCATAGTGAAAAATGATGCACAGGGTAGCAATGTGGTATTCCTTTTAATAGCTCATACTTTTATCTGTGTGAACAGCCTCTTGGTATCTAGTGCTTCATCCTCAATGAATTTCTGCCTGGTGCTTTATACTACACATGGCATCTGCTTTCCTCAAACTGAATAACCTGAGGCCTTCAATTTCTGCTCAAATGTCTTAACTAGCAGACTGTGAGCAAAAAGCATCTCATCCCTGATGTAGTTAGGCAGACTGTATCCGAAGCACATGGAAGCACCTAGTATGTTATTGCCTTACTCCATTGGTACCATAACTGTATTTTCCCCAGTCTCATGTGCCAAGATTAGTCACACCCAAGTTAGGGACCTAGAGACAGCTAACTGAATTGCATCGTTGTTTTTCTAGTGGATAGGGAAATGAATTATAAGCTGTCCTGATATATGCAAATTTACTTCATTCTGAGAAAAAAGCATAAAGAGAAAAATTAGATCCCTTTAAAAATTGTCCTAGACATATAAGAGAACTGAAATTTGTCAGTAGGTTGGTCTCTTTCAGGAGTCTCCCATTTTCTTTTCCTGTGAAATTGCTGCTAACTCTTGAAAACTGTACACTTCACATGCTGAATACAGTCTTCTACATTTAACATATCTGTTCTCTGAAAATCTTGAAGTCCTCGAGCTGGAAGGATCTTATTCTCTACTGTAGTTATGGGTGTCTGGGTTGGTGTATATCTAGGTTTGAGCATGCTACCCTTGTGATACTGGCGTAATATCACGTGATTAATTGTCTGGTTTTTTTCAGTGTGTTTTTGTAAACTTAGAAATTATGTTTATAATGTGTATGCTCAAGACGGCTGAGCAGAATTGTGTAGAAAAGCCTGGGTTTGTTATTTCCAACTTTTAATTGCCTGTCTTTTTGACCTTAATAATCTTACTTTTCTAATATTTCTAATTTAATCTTTTATAATGCATAATTAAAACATAAAAAATGTTAATGAAGAGAGTGTGTATATGGAATCATTTTCTGATTGTAGGCAGTATTGATTGAGAGTGATATTTCCAGTGAATTTTTTTTTCCCAGATCTTAGTTTTCAAGCAGCTGCTCGAATTATGTCTACCCCTGTTTATGATGCCTTAAAGGTAATGAAAGACATAGCTCAGAACTTCCCAATAAGAGCCAGGTATGATACTTAAGTTTGGTTTTCAAATACTGTTTTTATGTTTGCGTTTTAATCTAGTGACAGTAATACAGACTTATATCCAAATCCTGCAGTCAAGTATTCATGTTTTACAGCTTGCCGGCTGGATCCAAGGTAATTTAATTGAAAGAAAATAACTCCTGGGAGAGCTCATGACCGGTCTTGTAAATGTTTTCTGTCTGATGCTGGAGATGCCAGGAAGGCATTCTGCTCCTTCAGGCACTTATGCCTAGTCCTCCAGGCTTCTGCTGGAGTTATACTTCCCTGGGTGCAAAATTCTGTTGACTTAATATCAGATCTACTCATAGTAGGAAGAGGCAAAATTGTTTTAATTTTGCAGGGGATCCACCCACATTAGTTCTAAGCACAACATCGTTGATAAGATGAGGCCCTGGCTACTGTATGTACAGTAACATCTCCCATAACAGATTGCTTAACAAAAGATCAAGGTAAACATTAAATAAATGAATAACATTTTCCTCTGTACTAATATTAAAAATGGCTCTTCCTTTAAGCCAATTGTATTGTGATTGAGACATGCTTTTCTTTATATTTAATAAGTTCTTAATGTAATCCTATCAGCAGTATTTGCTTGAATTACTGAATTAAATAGGATGCTAAATAGGGTTATTGACTATGTGTGTTTTTACATTTTACAGCTCTTGTTTAATTACCACATAATGTTTCATTGTCATCTCTGGTATTCTGTTAGAGAAAATCTATGCTGTAATGGAAGAACTGCCTTTGTAAAATCTTGTTTCAAGGAAGAAAAATAACTTTCAAAATACCTGAAACGTAATTGTTATGAAATAGTAAGGTAGAAGTTTACATTTAGATGAGCAGTCAGAAAATGCAGCTTTTCATTGGAAGACAGTGGAAATGTACATAACATTGAACTGCAAGGCCAGTTCATTTTTAAAAGGACAGGAAAAAGAGTCAGTTTGAAGTACTCTAGGTGACATTTAAATAATGGATTTTAAAAGTCATTAAATTGTTATATCTCTGACTCGTGCTATGTATTTGTGGCATGAGAGCACAGTTTACCTGCTCTTCAAACACTTTATTTTTATGAGTAGAAGTATAAGACTTTAGAATTACTAAAAGACATACGCCAGTTCCTGTCCTGTATAATTTGTTCTAATATGCTCATCTAGCATGTTATTTTTAACATAAGAGATTACGAATATTTAGATTATTTAAAGTTGTTAGGTCTGCATTGACAACAAACTTAAATCAAAGGGGCATTGTGTAAAAACAGTGAACAAAATATATTTCCTTAATAATCTAATTACAACCTGTTGAGTCAAAAATACTAGTCTGGAAAAAAGCCACCTAGAATAAACAGGAAATTCAAAGATATGGCTTATTTGCTTAAGATAGGTACCTGATCATTAAAACAGTAGTGTTTTAAAATTGTTTAAATTTCACACAGTTTAGATATGAAAACCATTTTTCAGTTATGCAAATTTTGGTTGGAAAAGGTTGTATAAAAATTTTAGAACTATAGTTCTGAAAATAAAAATGGAATATAATATGTTCCCTAAAAATTGAAGGGTTCTTTAGACCATAAGAAAGTAGTACACCATTCCTCTGGAAGTTTCTTTCACTTTTTAGTTTATAACCTGCATTTCTGTGTCTTGGTATTTCCAGTTGAAAAGGTTAGTCCAAGGTAGATTGTACAAAATGTCATCAGATGTGGACAGTGTAAGACCTGATATATGTCATGGCGACATTTCGATAATTCATTTTCTAGGATATTTTTCATCTTTGATATATTGTATACATGTCATAAATATTTGTTATTTAAAAATACAATAACAAGAATTATAATACTGTGTTTCTTGCTATCCATTCATCATTCATGAATGTTAATGTTATGAACATGTGAAAAGTTTCCTTTTTTCCCCTGATATGCAGTACTGTATAGCTACATGTTCTTCCAGATAAGAGTAAAGATGCATAAAACTACATGATAGAAAAATCACAACCTTAAGGTCATATAAGAACATTCCTACATCATGTAGAATAATAATTAGTATCTGCTATACAAATATGGCATTTATTTAGGTAACAATTTAGATGATCAAACAACTTACTTTTTTATAATATACGTGGTATTTTCCAGGAAAAACAAAACAAAACAAAAAAACCCAACCAAACAAAATAAAACCCAAGAGCAAAGACTGAGATTGGTAAAAAATATACTGATAATATTACTTCAACAAAACCTAGCTTAAATTTGAAACTTGCATTTCCTAGAGTAACAGAGAACAAAAAAATTGTTTTGAAAATAAAATATTTATGACACTGCATTACTCTTCTCTTTAAGTCTTAATTACAGTGCATTGGATATGGCATTAAAATAACATATTTCTCATTATTTAATGCATTTTTAAAGAAACTGTGGTTGAGTGATACCAATATTTTATTTTTACAGATCATTGACCAGAGTGCTTGTAGACAAGAAAATGCGAAATGAAATAGAAGAAAATCAGAAGGTTTGTCTTTAATTTCTTCAGGTGGATGTTTGAGTTACTATCATATTATTGCTTTTTGATATTTTTATTAGTCGTGGTTTATACCAAAGAAAAAAGAGCTAATTGCTCTAAACATCTTTTATTAAATAAATAACTTTGAAATACTCAATTCAAATTTTTCACTTTTTGCTGTTCTTGGTACTTTTTCCCTTCCCACTTTTGATTTTATATAATTAGGCAAGGACAAACAATTCTTATGGAGTGTTGTGTTCAGTCATAAATTGTGTGCTGTGAAAGCAAAATAGATATCAATTAATTATGCTAGAGCTTTGATGTTGAATCTAGGCCTGCTGTTTATGTTATGCTCAGCACATGCTAGCTTTGAGCTTTCCACACTCTTGGAATCACGCATGCAACTATTCCGCAAGGCATTTCGAACATCAGCTGTGGTAGATGGTGGATTTGTTTTCATCCTTGTTGCACTGCATCTTTTGTATGTCACATGAGGAGTTCATTGTTCTTGTGATTTTGACTGTTCTGAGATGTATTCTAAGATGCGACTTTGTGTTTGTAGAGTTCATGACATCTGTCATATTTTTTGTCTCAGTTCAGAGTTTGGATTTTTTCTTTCAAGTTGAGTGTTAAAATTAAATGTTAGCAACCAGACTTTTAGGACTGGTCACATGAAGTGACATCCATAGCACTGTCCTTAGTGTTGATCTTTAGAACATATATTTTCATATGGTGTTAAGACTGATCAACCACCATAGTGAAAAGGATTTATTTCTTACTGATGACACTCCTGTACTTTTGCAATGTTTCCATGTATCATTTTGCTTTGTATGCATTCAGGCCTTTTCCTCTTGTCTTGCCAAGACTGCCAAGACTAGTATCTCCAGGGGAATGCCTTTTCAGTTTCTTCCACCTTCCAAAACAGTGAAAGCAAACAATGTCCCTGTAGCACTGATGCAGCCTTCTCATAAGGAGCTTGTCATCTCCATTGTAGCAGAAATTCCGTATAAATGTTTTAGAGGTCTTCACCATGCAAAACTAATCTAGAGCCTTGAGTATTTCATGCCCAAATAGTGACAAGCTCACGATACATCCTTGTAAACGGTTATTCCAACAATTGTATAGGAGATTTTTTTGCCCATAGGTGATTGCATGTGGGATTGGTATATTGACAATACAGTTCACATATCCCAGCAGGTCACCTTCCTGAGCCTTTCTTGTGTACAGGGTGCATGTTTTATTCTTCTGTTTTCACAGATTTCTTAGAGTGGACTCAATGTTATGCTGAACTCTTGTTTCTTGCACTAGTGAGAAGTGCCATAGTTTTTGCTCAAGGGAGCAAATCAGTATCTGCACCCCACTTCATTGCTTTGTGTATACAGCTGAGATAGGCATTTTCCTATACCTCTCTGTTAGGGTTATAGTCAGGATAAAGCAAAACAAAGCCCTGGTGATCACAGTTTCTTCAAAGTATGAGTGTTGGTATCAGGACTTTCCTTGTTTCTTGATGAAGTCTTTACAATGTCTTTCTCAAATTGCAAAAATCAAAACCAACTGCTTAATCAAAAACTATTCCTCCACCCCAAAATGCAAAAAAGTAAAGGTATACGAGGAATTAACATGGCTATTATAGGGATTAGTAAAAGTAACAAAGATTTAGTTTGAAATGAAGATGTCTGCATGTAGGCACATTTATTTGGTATCTAAACTCCTCTTATGACAATGAAGATCTACATCAAAAACAATTTAGCTCACTCAGTGGTTGTTTTGTGAGACATGATTGAGTTGCCTAAACCTGGATTTCTGATGTCATTTGACATGCTGCAGGCTATCCAAGATAGCCACACAGGTCTGGCACATGTGTCCACTGGGACATCCATTCCTTTCTGCCTGACCTGTACTTTCCCGTCAAAGGTGCCTTATTCTGAAACAAATGACACTGGATATCAATGTGGTTAGTCAGCTGAATCACTCCTATGATTCCATGACTGTATTAAATACATTAACTATAACAGGATCTTAGGCACCTATCAGACTAAGTTTAAATTTCTTACTGCATCCTACCTGAGGCTGCTGGCCTTTAGACAGCTAAAAGCTAAAATCTGTTGAATAAAAAATAAAATAAATTCGCATATGCATTCTTGAACTGCAGTACATCCATCTAGCAGCAGGAGAGATATGATCTCATGCTGCGTGTAACTGGATGATTCCCTCTCAAGATAATGAAAGTTGAATAGGAAATGCAACGGGAGGAAATAAAGGTATTAAAAGGTATTAAAAGTTGAAAGGCATGTGATGATTTAGGTGTAATGAATTGATACCTAACTAAGAAATAGACAAAGAACTGCTTTAGATAAAAAGAAAACTAAAATCTCATTAAACACAACTCACAACTTCCAGTGCAATTATTTGCTGACAGTTTAGCAAGAAAATACTGTATGAGTATTATCAGCATTAATTTCTAGTCTTGGATGCCTAAATACTCCTCCTATCAAAGTTGCTACGGCAAATGGGTGCTCTTCTGAACAATTGAATGCCTAGCATCAAAACTGTATAGCGAGTCTTAGCTCTGATTCAGCCTAGTTCTTTTCCTACTGCAGTACTGGAAACCTTTTAGACTCCCATTTCAATAGCCAGTGGCTGATACTTTTCTCATTGTTCTTGCATTCATTTTACTTAGTATTAGTTTTTGTACGACCTACATCAGCCAGTTGCAATCTTACTCAGTATCTCTATTTACATGAGTGTCTGGCCTTGTAGGAATGACCAGTAAGCTTTCAGTAGTGGTAAGAGATCTCTTATCCAAAATGCTGATTTCAGTGCTTCAGCGAGAGGGACTGTTGTAGCTGATCTCACAAGTTCTGTGCAAGAGCTGTGAAAGATGCTGGTAAGATTTCTTGAGACTGGAATCTTCCTTGTGTTTATTGTTCACTCCTTGAGTCCAGTGGCATTAAGGGGGATTTTTCTGTGGTCACAGCACTTTGTGGCACAACTCTGGTATTAAAACTGGGATCCAAGTTGGGTTTGCTAACTACAGAAAAATTTCAGGTATACCTAGGACTTTGAATGCTTCTCTGCCTGTTGCAGAGGAGTTTCATCACTCTGCCTGGCTGTTTAATTTTGTCCCATCTGCCTGTTTTGCTTGTGTCTCAGGATCAAACTCTGTGTAGGTAAAACAATCAGAAATTTCACCTGCTGCAAGGGCACATGGCATTGTCTGGCATCTGTGAATTTTGGCTGCTTAGAAGGGATGTGTAGAATGAGACCTTGGGAGGGTGTGTAGTTCTTTGTGAAGCTGTGGTAGGAAAAATATAAATGTCAGAAACCATCCGCTACTTCTGCTTTTTGTTTTAATGGTTGCATGAGGTTTAACAAAGATAAAAATATGAAGTCATGCACTTGGCTCAGAGTAATCCAAAGAACCAATTAGTTACAAAGAAGATAGAAGTCCTTCTTCTGTACCGACTTTTGGGACATACCAAAAAACCATTTCTGCAATTTAGATAAGATTGGGAATAAAGTGAGTTTTATGAATTTTAAAAGTAATTAAATTATCTCTTTCTTTTTTTCCTTATCTGGCCATAGGAAACCTACTGTCATGCGTTTATGCTCCTTATTTTTGAAACGCCACTGACAGCCATTTTTTTAGGTGCCTACTAAAATTTTCATGAAAGATAATTGCTAACTAAATTTTTTTAAAAGGCTTTCTTGTTATTTCTTAGCATTAGTGGGATGCAGTCATCCCCCCCCCCCAATCTACCATATTCTTTACATTGTATTTTAGTTTGAATATATGTATTTAGATACTTTATAACAAACATAAGTAATTATTACTCTTTTGTAAATCTACATACAAAAAAGCAATGAAAGCAGTACAAAGTTCAAGTTACAGCATTAGAATAAAGTACAGTTACCAATTTCAAAAGCTGTTTTTCAAGGTTAAGGGCAGGTTTTGTACTTTCGTTAAAATTTTTCTGTGTCAGGCTCAGACTTATCACAGGTGCATTTTTTTTTTTCATGGAGAGCTCTGCCTTTCAGACGTTGATATTATGTGCCATTACGTATTTCCATTCTTCTTTAGGTTGTGAAAATGTTTATATATACTTAAGGGAAATGGTACCTTTTCAGTGAATGATGAGTAGTATGCACATCGGTTGGATTACAAGGAGCTTCAAGTGCACTGTTGTCTCATTTATGTGGGGTTGAACTTATAATGCCACAAACCAGTTAGCTTTGAGTTTACTTACATTTATCTGTGAAAGTAACCACGCTACCTCAAAGGAATAATATCACTTTCACTGTTGTCCCATTTTTTCTCTCATTTGTTCAGTGGCAGGCTCATAAGTGGACTAATATATGCAGCCTGAGCTGCTTGCTCTAAGTGTGCTTTTGTTCAAAGTGTACTTTTTGTTCATGCTTGTTTTGATCAGCAAGTGGGAGCTAAATGGGAAAAAAAATATTTCTCAGCTTGCTTCTTTTCTGCCTATTTTTGGTGCTTTCAATTCCTCTGTTGGGAATTAAGACAGATCTGGAAATCTGACCGTTCCTTGTGGGGTGAGTTGGGATAAACTGCTGCTTTTGCTCCTGTTACTTATCTTGCTACAGCCACTGTAGATTGAACAGCGTGGTGCCTCTCAGCTCCCTGAACTAAAATTATAAGGCTTACCTTACTCCCTAAATACTTCCTCTTGTATTTGTTTATTGTGGATTTTTTTTTTATTCTTTACAATCGAAGGATATGCTATCCCTTTCTGATTTTTTTTTTCCCAAGGCCCTTCTGTTAGATGAGATTGTGTGTTTCTAGTCTGTCTTTCCTACCTCCCACTAACAATTGCAACTACGCATTTTTGAAATTGTGAAAGATTTTAAGCTATTGAGAAGCTAGTTTCAAGTGGAGGTCTGAAGGACACATGCAGAGTCTCCCTTTGATCTCCATTTAGAAGTGAGTGGATACGTAGAAGGAATAAGCTGGGGGTAATTTTTCAACAACTTACAAGCCGTATTTCTGTATCTGTGTGTATTTTCACTTTCTGTTGGCACACACTGAGAATGTGTGCTTGTCTATACCTTGCACAGGTAGGGACACTGTAGGTTCCTTTGGGGAGGTTATCAACTATTTTAATTTGTGTTTGTATTAAGCATTGAAAATGTGTTCAACAGCACTCATAAAAGTATGCTGTCAATATTGTTACCATCAACACTCCGCTAAAAGGAGAAACTATATGGAAGAGATTTAATGTCTGTTGTGTTGAATTGCTTAGTTTTATATATTTATGTATCTGTATGTGTGTGTTAGTGTTGACACATACCTAAATAAGTTAGCAGTACTTCTTATTTTTAAGCATTTTCATGAAACGCTTGGAATCCAACCTGGAGAAGCACGTTTATTTCTCAATGGCCTTCATATTGACCTGGATTTTCATGATCCATTTAGGTAAGATGGTGTATTTTATTTAAAAATCATAGAATTATGAATAATATTGGAGAAGTTGTCCTCATGATGATACATAATCGCATCTCCTGCATTTTGGGGCCCAGGAAGTGCTCCAGTAAAGGGAATACTGGTTTACAGTGGTTTTACTTTGAATATGAACATTGTATAAGCAGTTGAAAAAAAGTATTTTCTCTTGGAAAATATTTTATGATTTGCTTACAATTTTATGATTCACCATGTAAAATTAATTTGGAAATGGAAGGAATGCAACATGTATATATAAAAAGGTGGGAAAAGCACTTAAAAATGTAAGTTAAGTGCTTTCACATCCCTTTTTAAAAAAAATTTCCAAAAAATTTTCAGGCATTAAATTTAGATACACAACACCTTGGGTTATTTTTGGCATGCTTCTGAGTCTGTGTCTGGCCACCTTTTATTATAAGTTCTGTTAATGCAGAACTAAACTGCTTTTTGTTGTAAGAAATCTTTTTCTAGTTTGTGTAATCATAGTATAATTATTTGAGGTCTGACTTGAGTCTTTTATGCAAGCACTCATATAAACTGTAAACATTTTCCCTTGCATTCTCTTCTGTACGTTGTCAACAGCAGGACAGACATGACTACTTCAAAATCATCTTTGGTGGCCTACAAGCTGTCAGTAGATCTACTGATACTAAGGCTGAGGGGTTTTTTTCCTGTTTCCCAGGATCTGTCAGAGTCTACAATTTTTTATTTTTCTATTCTTTAACTCAAAATGTCTTTGTTTCTCCTTACTGGAGATTCTTAAGCTTTCTTGGTTTTAGCAGTTATACTTGCAATTTTTACTTAATTATTTTCTCAGACAGAGTTTTGAAATGGAGTCACTTGCATCTTTTTTTGATAATGATGCAAATACTAATAGCGCTTTTTAATGCTAGTGTTAGGTTTAATTTCAATATAATTTAGGAGACACTTTTCAGAATAGAGAAAACTCAGAATGAAGCAAGATAGAAATATAGGCATTTGGAAAATCTTGCCTTCTGTGTTCTAGCAGGTGAGTACTTCAGGTTTGTTTCCATCTCATATTGAATTTTCAGATTGTAACAAATGTTACGGTGTCCTGTTGGGTCTTCTGGGAAATAATTTTGTTTTAGGAGAGTAGCTATGTCTTTCCTCAATGCTGTTTTCAGGGTTCTGTTGTGATGCAGATTTAGGGCTTGTCTGTGTCTGCATCACTTGGTGCTTGCTTCTCTACATACTTGCAAAGCTTCCTGTTATTTGTATAATATGCTGTAATTCTATTTTGAAATAATTTGAAGATGTGTAAGTGTAATGTTATTAATTGATTTTGTTGTAAACATCTAACTCCAGAAGAATATAAAAATTATTTTAATACTAAAAATAATCTTTGTATTAAGTCTCAGAAATATTTTTTCTTTTATGTCATGACAAAAGTTCTATGTAGACATTGTGCATTTTCTCTTCCCGTGAAAGTATCTTAGAGACTTTTAAACTGGAAGGAAAAGTGATGCACGGCCTTCATGAACTTGGAATCAAAGAGGAGATCCTGAGTAAATTTATGAGGTTGCACGTACATCCTACAGATGACAATTATGCACTAGATGTTCGTCACTCTTCGATAATAGTGAGTAATTAAACAATTATTTATTTAAATGTTACATATCTGATGCCATGAATAAGACAGTCTATCTTTTGTTGTAGTGTAGTTAAAAGACTAGACATAAAACCATGTATCAATAAGTAGTGTAAAATATTTTGAAGGGTGATGTCTGTTCAATATTATTTTAGGAGTAATTTTCTCTAGCCTGTACCTTATTAAAATTTGAAGATGTAGGACATTTAAAATAAAAGAGGAATGTAGCTAAGAGTGGTTGCACACTCATAGCTGTAGAATTTGAGTTTACAGCAATTAATCCAGCTATGTAATATCCTTGTATTATGCAAGACTGATAAATGTACTTTAAAGGTATGATAATTGGATTGTTGAGAACTTAAATGTTTTGTTTCTAATTGTCCAATGACTTTGCTTTTTTTTTTCTTCTTTTTCAAAGTTTATGCAATTTTCATTACAAAGGTTATATGCCAGTGAAAAAGGCACTAAAATACTGTTTTACTTTACCTGAAAGAATCATATTTCACTCTTCTGTTTACCAAGTATAGACAGCTTTGCTCAGAAAACAGCAGAAGGACAAATTGGCTATATATTAATTACTTAGTTATTTTGTTACATACAAAGTGCTGGTGTGGGTTTTAGATAAATACTGTTTTTGTTTTATAAGGTGGTTATGCTATGTTCCATATATATCTGTGTGATATGTTGTTATGACCTTTGTGTTGTGGAAGTAGTTTGCACACTTGACAAAATGCTTTTATTCACATCCTAAGCAGGGTACAAAGACCTGTAAATAAAAGACCTGAACAGTTTGATTGAAAAGGGAAAAAAATTACTAATTTTAGAAACTATTTTCTGATACTATTTCAAAAAGAAGATAAAACACTTTACTCTTTCCAGGCTTTCCATGTGTTTTAAAATAGCTTTATATATACATACGTATTTTATTCAGTGGTTAATAATGTGTTTTCTAAATGGCTGTCTTTTTTCTTTTAGTGGGTTAATAATATAGAACAAGATTACCGCTATAGCACATGGCCTGCAAGTTATCAGGAACTGCTGAAGCCCACATTTCCTGGAGTTATACAGCAGATTAGACGCAATTTATATAATTTGGTAAGTTTGGAGAAATTAAATTTTTTTGCATAGTTTATGTATTCATTTGTGGACAGACAATTTACTGAAAAATACACATGCTGTATTGTATTCATTGGTAACATAGCTTAGAATTGCGTGTTTTCTATGTGGGTCTGCTAAAAGTACTGAAAATCTGTTTGTTCAGTGAGTCACATGTGATCATAGTCTGATTTCCAGAAGTATCTATTGACTGTAATGGGTCTATTTTTGGTGAAGTGTTTTATTTCAATGAAATGTTCCCGGAATTATAAATAATGTTAAATTTTACATTCTACAAAAAAGTCCTTCGTGGTAACCTGGACTTTGTAATCAGGATGTAAATGCATATATATTATTTCATTTTCCTGTGTGTTTGTTTGTGCGACAAAAGGATAATAATAGACAGACAGTGGACGTCTGCAGGACTGCGTCATCAAATTAAATTCTTCAAAATATGTAGAAGTGAGGGGCCATAGGTGAAGTTGGCATGGCGACCCTAAAAATGGAGTTCATGAACCTGTTGGTCGTAACAGCTGAGTATTCTTTATAACAAGAAGAAACTATTTTTACAGCTGATTGATTTCTCAGGACAGTTAACTTGTGAATGTCAAATGCAACTAATTGAGATATTCTTTATTTTGGATGCTGCCATAAAAAGCAGTATTTTAATTCCCATGTATTTATTGCTTTTCAGGCTTTGTAAGCAAGCTGTTAATCTCTGTTTATACTAGGCAACTGACTATATCATAAAGTAGCTTCTTGATTTATTGAAATCCTTCATAGAGCCACCATTACGATTGGTGAAGTAGCATCATTGCTAAGACTCGGAGACAAAAGACGAAGATTGAAATTTTGCACCAGCAGGCCACCAATGTTTAGAGGAAAGGAGGAATGCATGCCCCATTTTAAAACTATTTTATAAAATGCTGCCAGTTTAATGGAAGATTCACCACTGTCATAGGTTTCCTTTTCAAACAATGACATTGCTTTTATGTGTCACTGAAGATTGCCAGTTGGAGATGTGAAATAATGAAAGGTCTGCTTCCACTGCCTTGCTACATGCTTTAGGAGATGAAAGGAATATGTAGGATTAGCACTGAAGAATACAGGAAGCAAGTTATTCCAGCCCTGTAAGGAAAAATATCCTGAAAAAAAATCTTCTGATTTATGGGATAACCTAGTAGCACTCTTTAACCTCTCTGCCAAGGAACTGATGTAAATAAAGTTCTAAATGCAATATGGTTACAGTTTGACAGAGGTATGCAAACTTTTATATCTTTTTTAAGTAAACCAGAAAATAAATAATGAGCTACTCACACATGATGGATAAAGCACCACTGAGTTTATTTGTGGTTTTCGATTAATGCTGCTATCCAGTAAGTACTTATGTGGGAAAAATGTGAAACAAAGTTTGTTTAAAAAAAGCACAAAATTTATATTAATCTGGGGAATGGAGGGAAGCTGTGATGGTGTGGCTATAGTTTCAGCTCCCCTGTACAGTATTGTAATACTTTGACTTGCATGACAACATAAACTTTTTTCCTGGATTACATTTTCTGTGTTCACTGCAAAAACCAGTTTCTACTTACTGAATAAACAAATATTCAGTATTTCATTTTATCCTTCCCATATAATTCATGGCTTTCTGCGTTGTATACTACACAATAAGAGAGTTGGGCACAGTTTTGTTGGGAGCTTTTCTGTTCCTTTTCGTGCTACATATAGATAAGTCACTGCTATCAATGAATTTTCTTCATAGAACACTGTTGAAAGAAGGTAATGATAACTGTCATTTAGAGATGATGAACTGAGGTACAGAAAGATTTAAGTTATAAAGCATGCTAATTATGAATGTCTTGTAGCCTGTTTTTTCCTCTGTATGTAGCATTCTGTATCACTTACTAAGTTAAGGAAACAGCTACTGCTGATTTAAATTGAAATGTAAATTACAAAAGGTAATTGTATGAATCATAGAATCATAAAATGGTTTGGGTTGGAAGGGACTTTCAAAGATCTAGTCTAACTCCCCTGCCATGGGCAGGGACATCTTTCACCAGATCAGGTTGCTCCAAGCCCAATCCAACCTGACCTTGAACACTTCCAGTGATGGGGCATCTACAGCTCTGGGCAACGTGTTGCCCTTGGCACCTGTGGTGTCTCACCACCCTCATTTCTTCATATCCAGTCTAAATCTTTGCTCTCTTAGTTTAAAACTGTTACCCCTTGTTGTGTCACTACAGTGTCACTACTATTGGTAAAAAGCGCTTCTCCATCTCTTTTATAAGCCCCCTTTAAGTATTGAAAGGCCACAATAAGGTCTCCCTGGAGCCTTCTCTTCTTCAGAGTGAACAACCCCAACTCTCTCAGCCTTTTCTCATAGGAGAGTGCTCCAGCCCTCTGACCATTTTTGTGGCCCTCCCCTGAACTCCCTCCAATTGATCCATGTCTTTCCTATGCTGGGGGCTCCAGAGCTGGATGCAGTACTCCAGGTAGGGTCTCATGAAAGCAGAGTAGAGGGGGAGAATCACCTCCCTTCACCTGCTGGTCATGCTTTTTTGCAGTCCAAGAGACAATTGGCTTTCTGGGCTGCAAGCACACATTACCAGCCTGTATCCAGTTTTTCATCCACCAGTACCCCCAAGTCCTTTTCTGCAGGGCTTCTCTCAATCCCTTCATCCCCCAGCCTGTATTGATACCAGGGTGTGCCGCCACCCAGGTGCAGGACCTTGCACTTGGCCTTGTTGAGTCTCATAAGGTTCACATGTGTCCCCTTCTTGAGCTTGTCCAGGTCCCTCTGAATGACATCCTGTCCCTCAAGTGTGTCAACACTGCATCACTCAGTTTGGTGTCATCTGCAAATTTGCTGAGGGTGCACTCAATCCCACTGTCTATGTCATTGACGAAGATATTAAACAGTACTTGTCCCAAGAGGGACCCCTGAGGCACATCACTCACCACTGATCTCCATCTGGACATTGAGCTGTTGACCACTACTTTCTGGATGCGACCCTCCAGCCAATTCCTTATCCACTGAACAGTCCACCTGTCAAATCCATTTCTCTCCAATTTAGAGAGAAGGATGTTGTGGGGGACTGTCAAAAGCCTTCCAGAAGTTCAGATAGATGACATCAGTAGCTTTTCCACTGATGTAGCATCTCCAAGTGACATGAAGTTCAGTATATTAAAAGACAACCAAGATACAAGCATATGTAATAAAAAAAAATCTGTGTTTATAATGAAGCATAAGATGTGTGCAATATGAAGTAGGTTGCATTATGTATTCAAAGTTAAATATTGGCATAGATTTATATAACAGCTATATTCTAGAAATCTACAACATATCATTTAACTGTAATCTGAGGGGGAGGGAGTGTTCAAAATTTTTAAAATTACTCTGCTGCATTTCAGCTACTCTAGCAAAATTATGAGAAATTCCAAGGGGAGTTGCAGTGCAAAGCTGCATAAGTAAGGCACCAATGTCATAATTAAATGTCATAATTAAATCTGCATAAGAACAGTCTACCTATGGAGACAGATCCTAGTTTTAGATTCTGTGCCATCCTGAGAGATCTGATTTTACGCTTCAAGCTACGATAAGTGAAAGAGTGAATACAAAGATATGTGAGACAGGAAGGAAGAATTCTTTCCCAGTGCTCCACTTTTTTAATTAAAGTTTTAAATCAATATATTCTGTTTATTTATTTTAGTTTGGTTTTCACAACAGAAGAGAGTTGAAAGAAGTAATAGAAGAACAGCATTAGATCCTTTTTAATTAAATATCATGTTCATTAATTAGAACAAAGTATTGGCACAGAGTATTTCAAAGAAGAGTAGTGATATCACTTGGTTTGAAGTTCAATAAACAGTTAAATCCTGTTTTCAGTATTTTGTCCAAATTCATTAACTCTGAAGTTATTTTCATTTATACTCTTAATGTTTTCTTACAATGAATGCTCTAGGAAATTGAAAACAGTGGGGACACACAGCTCCTTTGGAAATGTCTGGTCTTGTCTTAGATTTTGTGTCTGTAAAAAAAAAAAAAAAGTACAACCCAAAAACCAAAACCAGACATCAAGAATAAATATTGTCTGGATAATATGTTTTCTCTTCTTAGGTACTTTTTGTTGATCCTGTCCAAGAAGATACAGGTGATTATATGAAACTGGCAGAATTATTCTATCATCATAATGTACCACTTAGGTAAGAAAAAGTGAAAGTCTTGAAGAAAAGTCTTAAAATACGTTTGCTTTCCTTCTTTCTTCTTCATCTTCTATTCTGATAGGCAGAGGTATGAATTCAAATGAACATGCTAATAGGACACACTGGTTACCCACTTGTGTTAAGCTTACTTGGGCATTAAGTATTCTTAAGCCAATAGGTTGCAAGGGATAACATACTTGAGTGTATGCAAAATGAACTGAAAACATCTAATAAAATATTATCTTGTCAAATAGTCCCACTGGATGCCCATTCTAAGCAAAAAATATTCTGTAAGTAAAACATTATTTTTAAATTTAGTTCTTTCAACTGAGGTTGCTTTACCTCATTTTGTTTTATATAAAACCTTAAAGACCAGAGCGAGATTATCATCACCTAGTTTTGAATTTCTAAAAATTAGTTGTCTGAGTCTGAACTAGTCATCATTTGAAAGAAAGAGATGCTTCTGAGAAAGAATGTGGTTGGTCTGAGATGCCTACTTTAATCAAAAATGAGTTGTTCTCAGAAGTACCTGTTTATTTCCACAGCTTATTAAAGAGAAGGGTGTTCAAACTAGGTCCAACATTCAGCAAGATGAATTCCATGTTAAATATTTTAAATCTTCCTGTCAAATGGCTTTTTGTTTCCTCAATAAATTGTAGGTTTTTTGTTTTCATTTGAAAATTTACCGGTTCTGATAATTGTTTTGCTTTTCTTTGTTTTCTTATCTTTCGATGACAAAAAAAGTAATGGAGGACAGATATTAGTTATCTGTGCATTTTGTTGCTGTTTCACTACTGGTGAGACAATACTGCTTCACTCTTTGAGGAGAATATAGCCTAGAACATCATTTGCCTTTTCTGATACATAACAGCGTAAGAGCAGCCAAACTGAGTCAAATTAAAAGTCCATTTAGGTCAGTCTGTCTGCAACAGGCCACAGGGAGCTGTCTAGGTCAGATAAAAAGAAAAGGACAACCAGATACTTTGAGTATTTCCCTGGCCTTTGCACATTTGGAGAGCGAAGAATTCCAGACCTGAATGTAGTTTCTAAATTTTTAGCAACCCTCAATGGGTTTCTCTTCCATAAACTTTTCTGTTTTCCCCTTGAATTAATGTAAAGTTTTAGCACCTGCAGCATCCTTTTCCAGATGTTTCCACAGTTGAACTAGGTGGTGTATGAAGAACTGCTTTGTTTGCTTTGAGCCGGACTTTCAATAGCTTCTTTTAGTGTCTCTGTAGCTCTTGTAATTGGGAGAGAGACTAAGCAGTCTCACTTGCTCTCTAGATGCCAGTCATGATTTTATAAAGCTCTACCACATTCGACTGCAGTCATTTCTTTCTCTAGGCTGCTAGTTATTCCTTGCCTGGAAGCTGTTCCAAAGGTTGTTTTGTTGTCTGAGTTGTCCTTCTCTGGACTTTCTTAGTTTTAATAAAGCTTCTCTGAGATGAGAGCAACAGCCATGTACACAGTATTCAAGATATGGACAAACCGCGGGGTCTATACTGGTGTATAATATTTTGCTTTGCTGACTGTTCCTATGGTACCCAGATGACACAAGTCTTTAGGAAAAGTTATTTACAATCATGAGAGATGTGAAAAAAGGGAGAAGCAATTAATTGCAGAACATGGTGGATCTTTATGCCTTAATTATTATTTATATATTTTTAGAAAACTTGCTGTATTTCTTACTTCCCTCTGTCCTTTGATCTGATGCACACCTGATTATGTCCTGACCATGTCTGAACAATTTTATACTGATATGACAGATTTTGTTTTAATCGTTTTAAAATATCTGATGTGCAGTGGCTATCCAAATGGAAAGCTGACTTCCTAAATAAACTCATTGAATTATCGCTTGTAATTATGCAGGTCTTCTGAAGCGTGAGCTCAGCATTGCCGGTTGTCCTGTTGTTGTAGTTGGTCTCATGTATCATGAGATCAGTAGGTCTCTCATGTTCTTGTAGCAGCTATGATGGAACTGTATGCTTTGTGGAAATACTTGCAAGATGCACAGTGTTTTTTATAGCAGAAGCCGGCTTGGAGTCTCTGTGATACTCCTTTAGAAAGACCGTGATTCCCTTGTTCTGTCTTACAATTTGCTTCTTCTTGATAGTTGGCATCATTTTCAAGCTTTCAACGGACTGCTGTGTATAGAACATTATCCACTGCTGTCATACATGTGGTCAGCAACAGGCAGCAGTTTGTACAGCTGTATTTCACAGATGGCTGCAATTGTGTAAGGTAGTTAGCACATTATGAAGTGCTTTGGGTTGCAGTTTGGCAGCCAGAGACATCCTTGCCTTTAGGTTTGCTAAAAAAGTGTATGCAGAAGAGAACAACATTGAATAGCTGCTTCTGTAGGGGCTTTTCATGGAGCAGCTTTTTTTTTGTGCACTGTTGGGTTTGTCGTGGGAGAAGTGACAGCTGATGGTAGAGGATTTTGCTGCAGACCTAGTATGAATAGCATTAGCTGCACCTATTCAGGATGATTCAAGGATGTGTTCTGGAAAACTACATGAGTTGGTCCTTGAACTGCTGCATCAGCAAAATATTCACATAAATTCTCTGTTTCTGATTCATAAAAATACCTGGTTTTGGCCATCTTCTTTCCGTTCCTCTCTCCCACTATGCAAGCAGTCTCAGTGTTGAAGTGGAGAGAAGGGTATCTATTCTTCTTAGAAAATGTGTTGATAGCAGACGGTGGAAGGCTTGGAAATCCTTAGAAGCGTTCTGATGGCTTTGCATTCACAAAATTCCAGGTGACGCAGAATCCACCTTCCCAGTCTTCATCTGTTAGTGCAGGCAACTGTGTTCATGAATAGGCATATACTTCTCCTCTCAAGAATCTGTATGTTCTAGCTATGGGTGTACACACGCTCTGTCATTTGTGACTGGAAAAATTTTCTTTGAAATTTTGATACTCTTGCTTCTCCTTACCTATTGCTTGTGACATGGCAAGCAAGATGGAGCTCCTCTACTCTCTTTTCTTCCTTTCACTGTCAGAAATTGCCCTACTGTTTTCTGGTCCAGGTCAGTTTGCTGGTCTGAAAGATCCTCAACAGAAGGATCTTTCTTGTCCCTTTTCTATACCAGCTAAGATGGAACTGACTGTAATGATCAGAAGTCCTTTCAAGTAGTGTAGTTGTCTTGGTGTCAGGACCACCACCACCACGTGGTCGCAACACCGCCTCCCCCCCCCACTCCTCTCCCGGTAAGATGGGGGCAAATAAGAAAAAGTGGAACCTCCTGAGTTGAGATAACGACAGATTTTTAATAATACCACACGAGGAAAGCAAAAGAAAGAAGAATATAACAATAAGACAAGATATAGAGTACAATGGAAACACTGATACAATGAAAATCTCACCACCACGAGCTTCACAAAAGAGACCCCTCTCCCGGCTAGCTTCCCCTTATATCCCGGGCATGACGTCAGCATGGTATCGAATATCCGGCTATGCCCAACTCCCAGCTTCTGTGAAGAATTAACCCTATCCCAGCTGGACCCAGGACAGTAGTAGAGACCAGAAGGATCCTTATGTGTTCTCAGCAGGTAATATAACTTCAAATATCTTCAGTTTTAAGTCTCCTGGGTCTTCAATCTGTGAAAGACTTTGTGCTTTAGTCATTGTGACATTATTTGCAATCTGTCTGACCAGATCATCTCATTGGTCCAAGCCCTTATTCCCTGGAGAAACAGGATTTTCACATCATTATTTTGGGCTTTTTAAGCTTTCTGGAGTGTGTGCCAAACCTTTCAGTGACATCTTCATGAGTTACACGTGCAAATTATGATGTTCAAATTAATCAAAAGTTTTGTATAAACAAACAAGTGGCTGTTAGGTTTGAATTTCCCCTGCTATTCTGGAACACCAAATCTCTGTTATACTTCATGCTGTAAAGACAGTATGGCCTGATCAATACAGGTTTTTTATAATGAGAACAGTATGAAAATACCACCTCCACGAGGAGTTTTCTCGTGTTTTTTTCCTATCAAGTCTCATATTTCTAGGGCTTTTTTAATTTAATGGAAATGTAGGCAATTGTAGTAGATGTATTAAAATTGCTGTGAATGGAGAATGAATGGTAATGGGAGGGTGGAGAAGCTCCAGGTGGTTAAAAAGGCAAGAGAAGGGCTAGTAAGAATGGCATGTGTTGATCGACAGGGCATCAAGACCCCAGCATGTCTACACACAGCTACTCAAGACACCCATTTCAGGAAAAATAAGACAGATTATGCTCAGACTAAAACAAAGACTCAAGGTTAAGAGATGATGGCAGGAACCTAAACAATGTTGTAACCTTTGATCAGATAAGGAAGAAAAGGGCTGTGGGTAAATCCTAATGACTCCCAGAAATCTTAATTACTGTCAGCTTTTTGTGCCTACATGCTGGACAGATTACTTGAATGCAAACATCTTTTTCTTCTCTGTTGATGGTAGGATGTGTGTGAAACTGATTGTTTTAAAATGTATGATCTCTTTTTGTTTATTTATAGAATTGGATTTGTTTTCATTTTAAGTACAAAAGAAGAAATTGATGGAAATGAAGACGCTGGAATAGCTCTTTGGAGAACTTTTAATTACATTGCAGATGAATCTGATACCTCTCAAGCCTTTACCTCGATAATTAATGTTGGTTCTTTCACAAGAAATCACCTCTTTTTTTTTTTACTTTTCTGTTTAGTTAGGATTTTGCTACCTTGTGACAACATGATACTTAGTTTCCATGTAAAATAAATGCAGATATATTTAAAACATATATAGCATTAATATGCTGTAGAATGATCTGCAGAAATATTTTCCTTCTCCTCAAACCAACTTGTTCTTGTAATTTTACCTTTCTACAGGCTGTCCTCAAGACTGTAAAAAGGTAGATGCATACCATACAGCTTTCAGTATATTCTTGTGAAAAATGATTCACCATTATATGCATTAACATGATGTGCCTGCTTTTGTGTTCTGTATCTCTCAGAGTACAGGCATTTTAATATCACTTCAGCAATCCTATAAACTTTGAAAAACTCTTGGTTCTCCAGTGTACAAAAGTGAAACAGGGTAACATCAGTTCTTATTTTGGTCATGTTTAAGCTGTTCATGGGTGTAGAAAACACAGAAATATTCCAGGCTTACAGCTTATTGAGTAAGCCATGTTTTCTGCGTGAGAGAATGCAGGTTCATGTAAAGACAGGAATTTCGGAGACGAGAGGTGAATGGAGGGAAATAAAGTGAGCAGGCTATGTGAAGACAATGCAGGCAAAATTGTATTGGAGAATATGGTATTAATACACAGCATTTTTTCTTACTTTTGTTATCTGTTATTCTGTTCATTGCCTAGAAACTAATGCCATGGACAAACTCAGAAAGCTTAAGATTAAAGGAATTGAAGTAACTAGGAGACCTTGGAAGAGAAATAGAAATCCACAAGTATTAGGAGCTGACACACATGCATGATTATTGTCCGTGACCAGATCACAAAATGTCAATTTACAGTGTGCTTTTTAAAAAGGGAGGGGATGATAAATATAATTAAAAGATAACAAAAACAGAATCAATAAAATACAGGTTTGAGATATTCAGTGCTATAGAGAGAAATTTACTGTTTCTCATTTGAAAAGAAATAGATTGAATAATCTTAACTTCAAATTTCTTTTGTACATTTGATGAAAGTAGGAAAATCTTATGCTATGAAATAAAATAGCATTGGTAAGGTAAATTATCATTGTAGGAAAAAGTATCACTGACTAATTCAGGCTTGGATTCATCCCGTATAGATTCAGGTAACTACCCATGGTTAGGTAGTTTATAATAAGAATTTAGATTCTAAATTCTCTAATCAGTGGAGAGAAATAACCTTTCACATTCAGCTCACATAAGTGTATTTACTTTGCCACTTCAGCTTGAGACTAAAGGTATAATAACAGGTTAATCAGAACAGTGTTTTGATGAAAAACTGTGCATATGTGTGATGGTGCTAATTACTAAAGCAATATAAAAACTGCAGTATATCAGTAAAAGCAGTTTGTATACTGATATAGAAACTACTACAGCACTATAGATCTTTATTGTTGATTTACTCTTATTAATTTTGTTAAATGATGATTGAAAATTTATTGCATTTTACTTATTTCTTTCTGTTATAATTTTTACAGATGTACCATGAAGTGAAAGATGGAAATGTTCTAACAGTAAATGATGTGAAAGATGTTCTTAGAAGTGAATACCCCGACGCTGATGTCCAGAGTATACTAGGTGTTCATTCTGAATATGATGAAGGGAGGAAGGTATGTTGAGAGCAAAGTGGTAAGAAATATTGCAGTACACAAGTCATTGCATTTGCTAAGCTGAAAGATTGCTAAATATTAAAGCACATAAATACAGTATCTTTGAGTTAAATTTTTCTTCAGTCATCATTCAGGCATTAGTGGAAATGTTGAAAGGTTTTCTGTATTATTACTTGCACTATTAAAATTTACTATTGCCTGCGGCTTTCAGGAGCACAAGTTTTTTTCTAGTAAGCATGTCAAGGAGTCTCTCTCATGCTACAGAAATTGTTTACCTATGTCTTCTGGGTAAGAAGCTGAAGCCTGTCTTCTGTGCGAATCATTGTTTACTTTAATTGTGCTTTCTGGTTATAATTTCCTTTGGGAAAGGCAGCTATGGATTTTGATTTAAAGGCTATAGAGAAGACATTTTTTATCTTAATTGATTGATCTTTATGTAGACAATTTTCTGCTAAAACATACATAAAAATATATATTTGTTATATATTATGCTCCTTTAAGAAGATGCACCTGGGAAGCTAGGAAAAAAGGTGCTGTTTGCCTTATGCTGCTTGTTCCTCACTGAGTCGTGTGGAGGCTTTGTATAGAAGGGCAGTTTGAACCTGCCTGGGAAACAGCTGGATATGCTTAGGGAAGCAAAGCTTCCCACAGAGAATATTAAAGGAAGACAAATAAATGGAGACCCCCTGGACTAGCAGGGACTATGAGCCTGGGATGAAGATCAGGGAGGAGACAGTGGGATGACAGAAAGGGAGGCAGAGATACTGCCATAGAGTTTGTAGCCATCCAGAAAGTCACACTGAAAGAAAACACGAAAGGATACAGAATAGGAAGGGGTAATTACTTAGAATACATTTTTATTTATTTTTGTCTCACTGATTTTTCTCTGATTGGGAGAAGTTAGCCTGTTCTGCTGGCTTATCAGATAAGGCTTGGCTTCTGAACATAGAAGCCTTTTCAGTGTTTTGGGAGTGCCACCTTTGGGGAAAAGGGCTAGGGTGATCCACCTCAAACTATGACTGTCTCAAAGTCCTTTTCCAATGATATTTGCTTAATTTTTTTTGCTAAGATATTAAGCAAAATAAAATGTTTCTCAGCAAGATGATAAAGCAAAAGTTTAAAACGCTGTATATAGATCTATAGTTTCTTTTGTCATTCTGTTTGAGAAATGAGTCCCATGTGTGCTGTTTGGTTTACAAACATTTCCTGTTTTGTCCCTGCTACTCGGAAGGTGTGACAGTGAATAGCGCTTGGAGATTAGTGTTTATTGTTTCTTGATATTAATTTCATTTTTTGCTACAGCCAGCCACAGTCTATTTAATCCTGTGATATTTCTGATGTGATCAGGCAGGAGCAACCTTTTATAAAAAGACTGGCCTGGGTCCATTGCCTCAAGCTCTGTTTAATGGCGTGCCCTTTAACAGAGGAGAGATGGATGCTGCAGAATTAGAGACAGTAATTCTTCAGAGGATTATTGATGCCACCGGGTTCTTCCAGAGGGCAGTGTTCATGGTATGTTTAACATTTCTAAATGAACGCAAAATGAAATATTTGGCAGTGGGTTGTTTGAGTCATGTTTATATATTGAATTTTTTATAATGAGGTGGCTTGAAATTAATAATATGACAACTGAAGTTACATTGCTACATTAACTTGCGGTCATGTTTTTGAAACAGTATATTTAAATTATACAAGACTGAAGGATCAACTAAGCATATAGTAGTCACATGGAATTTTTCAACCAGAAACTAAGAATGTACTGCAGTGGTTAATTGAACAATGTGTATCTGATATTTTGAAATACTATCTCTGTGATATTTATACATTTTTTTACTTGTAATTTTCCATAACTATACAAGCTTTAAGCTCAGTTGAAAGATTGTACGAATACCTGGTCTTTGTTTGTCTTAAATCAAATCTGTACTTTTATAGTTCATTTTCTCTTACTACAGGGTTTGTTAAATGATCATATAAATGCAATGGATTTTCTTATGGATCAGCACAATGTAGTTTCCCGTATAAACCCCACTATACTCAGAGCAGAAAGAAGATACATACATTTCAGATCCACATCTGGTAACTACTTTTCTGGGATTGGCTGTTGGTATAATTTTCCTTTTTTAAGTCTAACATGTTGTGGTTTACATTTTGCAGTTCCATTTGATGTGGAAGACTTCTCTACTTTCTCCTTTTTGGACTCGCAAGATAAAAGTGCTGTAATTTCAGACAACATGAAGTATTTAACAAAAAAGGGTATATTAATTTTCTATATGGGATACATATATGGGTATTACAAATTGTTGAAATTTGCTGGTAAAATAGCCCAAGGATCCCATGTAAATAAATACATTATCCCAGTATCTTCTTTCAGGAGCTGGATCATGTCCTAATATTATAAACATAATAACAGGATTGTTATTTTAGATTTTGTAGTTTTGAAATGGGATGGGTGTTGTGGCTAGTTGTTTTTTGTTTTACAGATGTGAAGTTAAAAACCTTTGCAAGACTTTTGCAGCTTCAAATGCTCAGTTTTCATACTAATGTGGTTTTACTTTAGGACATTAAGGAGAGTATATTCAGTTTTCAAGTGACTCTTAGTTGCAGCATTATCAAGTGAAGAATATATATCTATGTCAAAATTAAGCATTTCTACAATTTAAGGAATAATTGATTTTATTTCTTATTTGTTAGCATTCAGTATCTCTGTTTTTCCTCTAGTTAGATTGTTTAATTTTGATGTCTGAAGCTTTGTCTTTCAGTAGAAAAGAAAAAATATTCTGATGGATTATCACTCATTTATACATTTTATTTTTCTAAACTCACTTTTTTGTACATTTAAAATATTTTTTGATATAAAATATTCTTATTGCATATGAAAGTACTTTCCCTTGGAGTTAGAAGAAATTATAATTACAACAGTGGGGGCATAAAACTGCATGGAATTTTGCAGTAGTCTGTCCCTTGTTAATTTCTAGGAGTAGACAGTTAACTGCTCATTTATATCAGTCTATCAAGGGACAGAATAATCCTGTTAACAAAGTGCTATTCTTTAAGTAATTGTTACAATGTTAACATAGTTTTCACTTAGTCCATTATCAGAAAGAAATGCCATATACTTACATTTCTTTAGAGTAAAATTGTTTTTCTCTGTTTGATTCTCTGTCTACAACCACAGGAACATCCCAGATAGTTGTCAAATGATGACTGGCTTTCAATCTGTAGGCTCATTTCTGAGATTCAGATCTCTTGTGTAAAACCCATAACCTTTAAGCTGGAATCTACATTTCAAATCTCTGTCCCCATTGTGTTTCTCAGGACCCCAACAATGCTTAATCATAACTTCTTCCTAGAATCTTACCAGAACCTTGTAAAATTCCTGTCTATATGTATTAACTTTTAGGGAATATGACAGACCTGAGTGGACTGATATTCTGCTACAAATAATTTTGCAGAGTTTTCCATGTACCATTGCTTTTCTATGAGGAATGAAGAACTAGGATGTAACAGACCAGGAAAAAGGGAGATTTTCTAAGTATACACTTACACTATAATTTACTTTCTTTGAGCTGTATTTTGTATATTCCCATTTGTGTCCAGAAATGGTAAATTTAACCCTGCTTTTGGCTGAAGGACTCTCCTTTGCTGCTGGGGAAAGTGAATGGCCTAACTCATGCGTTCTTGTAACTACGTATTTCTTTTCATGTCTGGATATATGGTCAGTTGCCATCAAATGTTCACAAGAAACCTGTGGTAAAGAAAGTCTTGTTAAAGGGAGGTAGTTTATTATTTAGAGACATCATGTTTCAGTGGTACAGCAACAGATCAGCTATTTTAGTGACTCTTGCATTAACGTGATAAAGTACCCCTTAATAATTTTATTTCAATTCAGAGGGCAAAAGATTCTGATGTGACAAAGATTAGTCTTACAGTTGAAGTTAGCAGTAAACATAAGTACAAAACAGTGCACATAAACTTCAAAATCTCTAACAGAATTTATTATTCATTACTTGTGAGAAGATTCTTCAGAATGTAAAGCAGGATTATCTTTAATTTTCAGATGAAGATGCATTATATGCTGTTACTGTCTGGATTATTGCTGATTTCGATAAGCCAGCTGGGAGACGACTGCTTTCTAATGCCTTGAAACACCTGGTGAGTTTCTAGCAGTTTTTATTGAAATAATTATTATGAATATGTTGTTAACAGCACTGTGCACATTCAAAAGTTATACTCTTAAATAAAGGTGTAACAATATATTTTTTTATGGGTCAGGTGCAGATTTACGAGACTGTGTGTTCATTTTGCTCTACTCTTCTGCTGCACTGGCCTCTCACAGGCCTGTAAATTATCATTTGGTTCATGAACTCCTGACGCAGGAGACAAACTATGGCACTCTGCATTAAAAAGGTGAATTTCTTCCCAATTACAGACCTTCTCCCTTGAGGTAACCTAGCATGTTACCTGGATCAGGGAAGTTAGGGTAATGCGTGTTCATGTGAACCATTATGCAGTGTTCTCCTGTATTGTATGGTATAGCTGTGGCCATGATGTGAACATTTTTCCATGTACTGTTTGTATGCTTCTGAGACAGATTAATTTTTTTTTGTATTTTGATATGCTTGGAGGTTCATCCGCATTTCTGAGTTTGCTTATTTTTTAGTTCTTCAATATTAGCAATAGGATTTAAAGTATACAAGTAAGTGTCATGTGAATATAAATAACAAAAACCCCTCAGTTCTGGGGAGTTTAGAAGAGTAATTAGACTGAAATTGGGAAAACATCTAGATTTACTAATCAGGAATGAAACAGGAACCACCCTAAGGGAATTATAAAATTGGTATGTTGCAGGGAGCATGTGATACCAAATATGTCTTAAAAAGAGGCTTAAAAAACTGCAAAGAAGAATATGCAGTACAAGTCCTTGTTACAGAAAAACATTTCAATTATCTGACTTCTAGATCTGTGACCCAAGCTTGACAGATGTATTCCCTTTGTAGTTTCATTTTTTTCCCCCCTTCAGCAGGGAAAATATGCCATAGGTTGCAACTAGGAAGTGAGAAGTGTCTAGGCAAGTCTCCATGTGTTAGTGAGGAGAATCTAGGAAAAACATTAGAAAAAGCCATTCTAAATAAGGTTTGTTGGTTGTTCTATGAAATAGCAGTTTAATTGCTTATCTTCATTCTAATTCATAGATTTGATTTAGATAAACTTCATATACCACTTGGTCTACTGAGTTCCGAGTTTCGTGACAAAAAGACAAAAACATAGTATTTTTTTCAAGTCCATAGGTTTGTGTGTAGATTCTTTACTCCTTTCCAGGCCCTTTTCTCTGTTAGGTCAGTGTCTAGGAGAATTTCTGTTACGTGCAGAGCTGGCACAGACACCTCCTGTGCATGACTTGCCATTGGCATTTGAAGAAAAGCGTGGAAGAGTCTGAGAGGGGAAGTGGCTGAAGGGAACTCACTTTTAACTGCGGCAGATTAAGGCACGGACTCTGATAGAGGGTGAATCAGAATCGTTCATTGCCCTTTTACATCAGTCCTTATAGCCTGGGCAGCTCTACTTGCGGCATGTGTGCAATGAGAGCAGTACTTCTATTGGTTAATTACTATTGTCCACGTGCCCTGATTAGCTTAATGATTGACTGAGCCCTATCTTCTACATTCTTGCTATGTTTGCTAGTTCTCATTGTTTTCTGCCATGTCTATCTTCTTTTGTGTTTGCTTGCTTCAAGGGCAAAGTTTCATATCTTTGAGGTCAAACCTTAATCCAATTTCTTCTTGTTCTCCTACATTTAACTATTCCATCTAATATTTTGAATACTACTAATATATTTTTACTTCATTTGAAAAAGCCAGAGATATCTGAGCTGGAAAAGACCTCTGGAGGTCATCTAGTTCAGCCTCCCACTTAAGTGGGATTATTGCCATCATTATGTCATGATGCTGGAACAGGTTGCCCAGGGAAGCTGTGGATGCCCCATCTCTGGAGGTGTTCAGGCCAGGCTGGATGAGGCTTTGAGCAATCTGGTCTAGTGGAAGGTGTCCCTGCCCATGGCATGGCAGAGAGGTTGGAACTCGATGATCTCTAAGGTTGCTTCCAACACAAACCATTCTATGATTCTGTGATTAGATCAGGTCAGTTGTAGGTTTGTCTGAATAAGTCCTGAAAAATCTCCAAGGAGGCGACTCCATCCCCTCCCTCGACAATTTGCTCTTGTGTTGCACTGCCTTCCTAGTGTAGTTATTCTTGCCAGGCGAAAATTTGTGACCATTACCCCTTGTTATACTCTTTGCCACTACCAAGAAGAGTTTGTCCCTGTCGTATTTTACACTCCCCAGCTTCTTAAATGCCTCCTCGTAGGCCTCTGACCATCTTAGTTGCCCTTTGCTGAAGCCTCTCCAGCATCTCAGCATCCTTACTGCACTGAGGGGGACCAAAACCAGGCACAGCAGTCCAAGTGCAGCCTCACAAGTACTGGGTACAGGAGAATAAGAATATCCCTTGACTGGCTTGCCATTCGTCTCCTGATGTAGCCTAGTATGCTGCTTATCTTTCCAGCGAGAGCATGCTTCTTGGGAACACTTTAAAGTACACATTTTTTAAGCTTTTCAAATAAGTGTTTTGACAAAATGTTTCTCGAGGGCTGCAATTTAAAGTTTGCTGTTTAAATATGTTGAACACCAGTGATTTCATTCCTTATTTTTGTATTCTTTACTGCAATAGAGTCCATTTACCTTTTTTTCAGTTAGTGATGCTATTTGATCCTACCTTAGAATCATCACACTCTAGTAAAATTTAAGTGGCATCACTGATTTTAGCAAGTGGAAGATTTTCCTGC